ATCCGATGTTTTAGTACAGTTTCTATTGAGGAGTTATTTAGTATATTATCACTATCCTGAAGTTGAAAACCAGTAATCAAACCATAGCAAGTTGGATCCATGCATATACTTAACTAGTTCTATATTTTAAGATAACTGTGTGGTTTAAATGAGAAGTGTCCCCATAGGCTTATGGATTTGAACGCTTGAGCCCAGTTGGTTGTGCTGTCTGAGCTTGTGGAACCTTTAGGTGGTGCCGCCTTGCTGGAGGAAATATAACACTAGGTTAGGCTTTAGGAGTTTTGAGTCTAAGGTCACACCCTTCTCATAGTCTGCCAGGTTCCTGCTCTGTTGGTGACTAGCTTCGACAAGGTTACCACTTTCAATAGTAGGGGCATGAGGATTAGAAAAATAAGTGAAAGAAACAAAGATACAAGTGAAAATAATAAAAATAGAACCATAAGATAGTACAAGAGGGAGTTCCAGAGAATACTGACGTTGCCCACGTTTAATTTTCCATACACTTTTTACCCCAAAACAACAGGACGAAGAACACAAAAGACTGCTTTAAGATCGTACAAAGGACTACTCAAACAGTTATTTATTTCAATACTTTAGACATCAGGTGATTAATTCCTAAGAAAAACATTCTGTTGTTTTGGCAGTAAATTCACCCTAGACCAAGTATTCTGCGGAAAACCACTCCCTAGGTCAAACCTAATTCAAAAGAAGGAGCAGAAGAACCCTTGAATTCTCTGACCTTTGGCCAGGGTAGAGTGGATCTACCTGTATGGTCCATTTTAATGAACAAAACACCAAGTAACCACATCCTAGGTCAGGGCTGTAGCCATACTTCTTGTCAACAATTTTGAGCAAGTTAAAACTCTCTGATCTTCAGACAAGGTGCAAGTAGGCTTGAAGCTGCAGGGCGATTGGTAAAGAAAAGTCCCCAGACTATCTTGATACAAAATATGTAGTTTTAATAAACAGAAGTAAGGCTTACAACAGCTTACACCAGAATCCAACTGATCCGTCTGGAAGCAGGAGCCAGGCGAAAAGAGAGCTAGCGGAGCGCGTTTGCTAGGTTTATAGGCAGGCTTTTGCCTGAGGGCGGCACGCCCCGAAAACAGAATATGATTGGCTGAATTCCCCTATCATAGGTTCACATTTTTGGGGCCTCCTCACTGCTCTTACCTGTTGCCATGCCTTCCTCACCAGTGTGAACTCTTCCTCTAGAACTGTAGCCCACAATCAACTCTCCTACAAGTTGCCTTGCTCATGGTCTTCCATTACAGCAACAGAGAAGTTGCTGATAGAATTCTCAGAAATTACCACCTCCATAGGAGCAGGGATTTTTATCCATCTTGTCAACTCTTGTTCTTTTGAAGGCTACATAGTATCAGGTACTCAGTGAATACTTGGGAGTGAATTTTGTACATAAAACAAATTATGCAATGCTTCACACAGAGAGAATACACAACATATAGTATGATGACAGAATTAAGTTTTTTTACAAATATATTAACAAATGTTTAAAGTTAAAAGAACTATAGAGTAAAAAAAAAATACCCAAAAGAAAAGAAATTCCTGGCAGGAACAATTGCTTCCAACTAAGAGAATCTGTGCAGCAGAAACACAGTTAATTAAGCTGGCGTTTTCACAATGTATAATAAAACAAAGCACTATAAGTGGAAGTTATTACTTTACATAATCACATGGATAAACCACACAATTATAATGTGGAGAAAAAGAAACGGGACCCAGGGGAACACACTACGTATGTAAAGTTCATAAACCAGGTCGCTGATTCTTTTGTGCTAGTCTTGAGGTGCTTACCTCTGGAAAAAAAAGTGAAGAGATTAGGACTGAAAAAAAACAAATACACCGATACTGGCAATGTTTTGTCTGGATCTGGTCAAGGCTCTCTAATAATGCATTGTGCACGTGTCCTTGCATTCATCAGCTTTGTTTCTGCTGTGGTAACCTCCTCAACATCTCTTTGCTCAAGCAAAGACCAGTTTTCTGCTCCTTTCTTCTTTTACATGAGAAGCTTGGCCTGTTATGTTCTCCTGGGTTAATTTAGCCTTCACTCAGTCTTCGTTCCAGGAATCTTCTCTTCTGGGACTCAAGCTGAAAAAGTAGTCCCAACTGGGGAAATGCTTTCCATGTGAATAGGGTTCAGAAATCCAAAGATGGGAGAGGAACCTGAGCATTTAGTTGCATAATAATTTTATGGTCAAAAGTACTGCATAACTTGCTCAAAACTTAGTTTGATTTTCATGTATTTGATTAAGTCATTTCCACATGCCGTGAGCTACATTCAAACTTCAACACACATATTTCGTGTTGCTTTATCACCTTCAACGGGACACAAACCTTTAGTCATTTTAACCTGAGCCATTTTCTCCAGATAAACCTTTATTTTACAGATATAACTGAGGTCCTAACTCAGTTGCTTTTGAATTTCTCAAAAGTGAGATTATCCTTAGTTAGGGTGAGGCCAACTTGAACTAGAACTTTCTTCTGAGATCAAAAAGTCTCTCTAGAGTGACCTCAAAGAAATAAGCCAGTCATTCTACAAAAGCCTGGTAGAGTATCACATGATGAGAAAGTCACAGCAGAACACTGATTATGAAAGATGTCCCCATCTGACATTAAAAATGAAAAGGGACCCTCAACAAAGGGGATACACAACTTCAAAGAACTCAACTCTTGAGATTAGGAGGAAATTAACTGTTACAGAAATCATTTGATTACAATCTTCCAGAGGATTAAAACCGTTCTGTGTCTCAACTCTTACCTCTATGTATAGCTTTGGCGTTGCAGTTAGTGGTGGCAGTGGTGGCTGCTAAATCTGTAGTAAACTGCCACACAGTGTCACGTCTGGTCCTATTCAAATTGGTTAAGTAGTGGTTCTCAAAGTTGAATTTGTATTACACCACCTGAGATGTGTGTTGACTGACGAATCCCATTCCTAAGATTCTAAGCCAAAAGTAAGTGTGTGACGCCATTGCTGCTTATCTAGAGACGATAGACTATGTATTGAGAACCATTGTTGCATCCTTGCTACACTTCCGATTTCTTTTCTCTCCAGGGCTGTGGGTAGGACTCTGTCTTGTTTTTCATAAGCAAGCACTCTATCACTGTATCCCATCTGAACCATTACTTTAAACACACTCAGCAACAAACTATAATACAGAAAGAACATATACATCTGATAGAAGGGAATGACTATTTCCTTTCATAGTAAAGATCTTCACAAGAGAGAGTGAGATCTCATTAAGTGATATTTATTAGTCCTAATACCTGATTTTCATTAAGCTGCCTCATCCTTATTATGCCTAGGGCTTTTGAGTACATTGCTCATTTCATGCAGGCAGAGGCACATTGCTTCTTCCCATGTTGCAAAGTACACCCCCATGTTCCTACTGTGGTCTGATTTTGGTGGTCTGATCTGCAATAGAAATATCCTATCCAATATGGATACTTGAAATTGTTAAGATGCTATACTCTACACTCTAAGAGATCAATAAATTGAAGCTGAACTGATAATTCAGGAAAAGTCCTTAATATCCCCATTGCTGCTACCTAAATAAAAATTATTTTTTTAAGAAATGAATCACATCCACTCATAATAACATCATGGAATGTGGTCATTCATCTATTTAGTATTGAGTTTAATAGCTGGGCCAAAACACCATGGCTCTAAAAGACATTATATATACCAAGAATACAACATATACTTAGGTTTTTTTTGTTTGACATTCCTATTCAAACACAAAAATCACCACCTTGTATTGTTATTTCTACAGAGGATTTTCCTTTTTCTCGACAGAAGTGCCTCTTTTGATGCTGGCAGCTTTGTAGGAACCGCAGAGTGGCAGGAACTACATCACTTAATGAATATTCACAACAAATTGATGTTTATAACACTTTTCATGTCGGTGCTCTTTAACCCTTCCTCAGCACTCACTCTGAGAATTACAATGAATTCTTGAAATACTGGAAAAAAATATCTCCAACCTCTAGTAGGTTCTAAAATACATTTTAAATTGTAGATCCTTATAAGGGAGAAATAAAGAATACTCATTAGTACGGGAGAGACAGCTGACATGCAAGTGGCATACTAATTTGCATATGAACATTCAGGATAGAATCCAAGCTCCTCCACCAGAGGTAAGGGTTTCTCTCTTTCTGTTTATTGGGGTGTTTTCTGATTTTAGAATAATATTTAATGCAGAATAGACACCCAGGGTGACTGAACAAACCCATTAATTGTGTGATGTCAAAGATCAATCAAGACTTTGATTGTCATATTAAAAAAAAAAAAACCGGCAATGATCCTGTGATTCCAGAATCAACAATCTGAACTGTGGGATTGACTGAGATCCCCAATGTATTAAGTTTCTCAACATAAAAGTGAAAATGCAAAATCTTGATATTCAGATGGCTACAATATGACATGGGAAAAACATGCAAAACATTCTGCTGTGATATGGAAAACACTCTAGAACTTCAGAACAATTGAACAACCTACAAAACCCATAATGTTTGAGTATCATCTACTACTTTGGGGGGCATTTCAAGACAGGGTTTCTCTGTGCATCTCTGGCTGTCCTACTATTAATGTGGAGATAATTGAATAGCAATGCATATTAGTCAGGGTTCTCTAAAGAAACATAACTGATAGAATTCACACACACACACACACACACACACACACACACACACACACACACACACACACA